GAAAAATGGGTCAATTTTCGGAAAAAAAATCTGAGAACCAAAAAAAAACAGTAGGACAAAAAAGAAAAAAAAATCAGAGGAGAGAAGAAAAACTTCAAAATCTGAAAATTGAAAAATCGAGAAATGACGTGGCACTTCTAATCTGGGGTGCCACGTGGAAAACGCATTTTGGGTGACTCGGCCAGGTTGAGGCCAATTTTAGGTCAAATTTCATGAATTTTTGGACTGAAAATAGGAAAAAAATCGAGTTTATGAGCTGAAATATAAGTAGAATAGCCAAAAAAAAAATACAGAAAATGGCGAAAAATAGGTACAGAAATGGCGAAAAATTAAAACTTTTGCATCAGAATTGAAAAAAAGCTAGGAGCATATCGTCAGTGGGTCAGAAAAAAGGTGGGAAATGGGATGAGAAACCAGTGAAAATTAAGGGAAATTGGGGGAAAAATCAAGTACAATCGATCAGATAACGTCATTCTTGTGCAGAATTGTGAGCACAATCGCGGTGACGATCACAGCGATGACGGCGAGAAGGATCAGTGTCCATTTCAGATTCTGTTGACAGAAATGGCGTTGAACACGGCGGGCGGTGCTTTTGAACGAGATTGTCTGGAAAAAATCGTTTTTTCTGGAATTTTCGCCTAAAAATCGATATTTCCTACCGATGTTCTCAACGCTTCAGATCGATTCTCTATATTTTCCAGACGCTCGCCCCTCTCCATTATTCGTTCCACATTGTCGGCCATTACCTGAAGAAAAATGGAAAATTTGGGTTTTTGGCTCAAAGAAGCTCACCTGACGAACATCTTCCACTTGCCGACGAATATCAATCATTCTCTGCTGATGGGCGGTCGGGAATTGGTCGTTGTGTTGTTTCTGGAAGAAAATATTTTGAAAATTCAAATTTCCCTCGAAAAGGTTTGGGCCGCTCTCAAGAGCATAGGGAATTCCGGGTTTTCGCCGATTTTAGCTCATTTTTGGTGGAAAATGGGTGAATTCTGAATGATAAATTTGGAAAAATAGGCTGAATTTGCTAAAAAACTAGGATTTCCACTATTTCAACTTGAAAATTCGAATCCCCCTCCCAAAAAGTAGAAGAAGCGCGACGCGACCGCCGCGCTCTCTCCAGAGTGAACTCCACTAAAATTTCAGCGGTTTCAGTGATTTCTAGCCGGATTTTCCACGATTTTTCCATCAAAACTAGCTAAAATTCCTGGGGAAACAGTCAAAATACCGTATATTCAGGTTTTTACAGCTATTTTCTTTGAAAACGCAGGGAAAAAACGCACAATAAACTTCAAAATATCGGGTTGAAGAATGCCGAGAAGGTCATAGGGATTCGATTGCGCGACGACCATTTGAATATTCGAAGATGCCATAATCGTTCGAATTTTCGAATTTAAGAAGTCGTTGGCTTCCGTTTGGTCCATTCCGTTTTCAGCTACACAGCAATAGACCATCGTGGAGAATGTCTCAATGACAACGACGAAATATAGGTGGTAGCTGGAAGAAATTATCGATTTTTTGGAATTTTAGGCCATTTCAAGCTAATTTTCAGTGATTTTTAGCCATTTCAAGCTTTAAAAAAAATGCAAAAAAAAACACTTTTAGCTCATTTTCAGCTCTAAAAACGACCAAAATCGAATTTTTAAGCATATCTTACCCTCCATCCAGCTCAATGACGCCGTCATTATTGAAGTACGTTCGCACACGTGATCGTATCAGTTTGATCACTTCGGAATCTGAAGAAAATATCATTTTTGGGCTGACAAATCGAATTTCAAGGTTAAAAAATGCGCTTTTTGAGAGGAAAATTCAAATTTTTAGCTTTAAAAATTCGAAAAATCCTCAATTTTTGGCTCACAATCTGCAATTTTTGGGCGGGAAATTCAAATTTTTAGCTTCAAAAAGTCGAAAACTGACCATCTGGCGGTTTTACATCACTATACTTGGTGGCATCGTCGATATTCTCACAAGCGCCCATGGCTACGGGCATTATGTCGCCAGACACTGTTGGTCGGCAAAGGACCACCGACATCACGCGTCCCGGCATCTGAAAATTTGAATTTTGCGGGATTTTTGAACCTAAAATCACGAAAAATAGGAAAAAATCGAAAAATTCAGGCCGAAATCTGAAAAAAAATATTTTTTTTATTTTCTAGCCTAAAAAATATCCTTTTTCAGAGTTTTTATCTCAGAAAACCATTGAAAAACTAAAAAATTGAGATACTTAGGTCAAATTTATATTTCTCCGACAATCGAGGAAACTGTGGAATTCTTTTCACTTTTTTCTATTTTTCTAGGTTTTATGAGTCATCGAAAATTGTTCTAAGCAAGAAAAACTGGACAAAGCAGAGAAAGAACGAAGAAAATCGACCAAAAATCGAAGAAAAAATGACCGAAGATTGAAAAATTTAAAATTTAGTGTTGGATATGCAAGCGCGCTCCATTGAGAAAAATCAGAAAATTTTGAGCGCGAATTTGAAATTTCAAAATCTTAACGTCGAATTTTTCGAATTTCAATGATTTACATTGAATTTTAAGGTTTCCATTTGGCTGAAAAAGCTAGAAAAAACCAAAAAAGACCGAAAAAAGGAAATAATTATAGGAAATTACCCATTTTCAGGCCAAAAAAAGGGGAAGAATGGTGAGAAAAAAAATCACAATTCTTTATAGAAAAAAAATAATCGAATCAGAAGGGAAAAATCAACGAAAGATTGAAGGAGGAAAATGGCAGAAAAAGTTGCAATTTTTTATCAAATAAGAAGGGAAAAAAGTGGGCAAACAAAGAGGGAGAAATAGCATGGGAATCAAGGAGGGTTCAGAGGGAGAGAGACAATTTCTAGACGTTTTTTCTACAGGCGAAACCGCTCATATACAGGCAGAAGGAAAGTGGGCGGAGCTTAAATGCAAAATTTTTGAAATTAAAAAAAATTATTTTGAGAGGAAAAATGAGATTTTAAAAGGGATTTTTCGGGATTTTTACAAGAAAATACACAGAAAATAGGGGAAAATAGGAGGTTCGAAAGGATGGAAGGTGGGGGAAAACGACCCGGAAATACCAGAAAGTTCCAGAATTTTTACAAAAAAAAGTGCGAAAAATGATAATTTTTAGGATGGAAAAGTGTACAAAAATACAAACAATAGGTACAAGGAATGATTTTTTTTTTGAAAAATTATTTTTTTTTGGAGAAGGAAGCTCGAGAAAAAATGGGAAAACCTAGAAAAAAAGGTGATAAAAACGGAGATGACGTGGATGAGAATTGCAGGGGGCGGAGCCTATTTTTTTACGAAGCAAGAATGTCTTTCCAGCGAGATAACGCCGCTTGTGTGAATGTTTGTTTCAACTCCATTTCTGCAAAAAATCAATAAATTACAAAAAATTCTAAAATCCGGAAATTCAGAAATTTGAAAATTCGGAAAATCCGAATCTCTAAAATTCTGAAATTCAGAGATTCTGAAGTTCTCAAATTCAAAAATTCAGAAATTCTAAAATTCAGAAATTTTAAAATTCTAAAATTCTAAAATTCAGAAATTCAAAAATACAAAAATTCAGAAATTCAGAAATTCAGAAATTCTAAAATTCTAAAATTCAGAAATTTAGAAATTCTAAAATTCAGAAATTCTAAAATTCAGAAATTCTAAAATTCTAAAACTCTAAAATTCTAAAATGCAAAAATTCAGAAATCCAGAAATTCTGAAATTCAGAAATTCCGAAGTTCTAAAATTCGGAAATTCTAAAATTCAGAAATTCAGAAATTCAGAAATTCAGAAATTCAGAAATTCAGAAATTCGGAAATTCAGAAATTTAGAAAATCAGAAATTTAAAAATTTAGAAATTCTAAGATTCAGAAATTCTAAAATTCTAAAATTTAGAAATTTAGAAATTCAGAAATTCTAAAATTCGGAAAATTAGAAACTCAGAAATTCTAAAATTCTAAAATTCTAAGATTCGGAAATGTTAAAATTCAGAAATTCTAAAATTCAGAAATTCAGAAATTTCGAAGTTCTAAAATTCAAAAATTCAAAAATTCGGAAATTCAACATTTCAGAAATTCTAAAATTCAAAAAATTCAGAAATTCAAAAATTCGGAAAAAGGGGCGGCGCCTAATTTTAATTAAAAAAGGGGCGGCGCCTAATGTTTTAGTTTTGCGTCAAATATCGTCGTGTGTAAACTCATTTTGAAGCTGTTGCCTAGATTTGGAATTCTAGGCCATTTTCAGCGTGTTTGGACTCAGTTTGAAGCTCTAAACGTGCCAAAACCCGGAAACTTGAAAATTGAAAAAAAAGGAAAACTCACTGGGCACGGCTTGTCTACAAATCTTGAACAAATAAGGCTGACAATCGGAGAATCTCGTCTCAAAAACCTCTGGAATCTCGCTTCTCGTCGGCATTTTCGGTGTATAATGATTGTGATTAATGTGCTCGCAAATGTCCAAAACCTTCTCTCCAATGTCATCAGCAACCCTCTGTCTCATTTTCTGTAGTTCATCGATGGATTCCACTCGGAATACATCCAAAATCAGCTTCCATTCCTCCCAAGACGTCCCCTCTTCGCATCCCATCGCCCCGGTTGCACTTCCGAACCAACTAACCGCCGTTCCAATCACAGAACTTGGTTTTTTGGATTTTGTGTAGAATTGGAGACCGATTTGAGCGGAAAGAAGGGGAACGGCACTATCTGTCGGACTGCCTACTGTAGGTGTTCGTCGGGGAATGGACCCAGAGCATGTGGCTTCTTCCACCTCGTATTTGAACTGTCGAATGTCCTCATCGACGCACATCGCTAGCTCTGTAGAGTTGACACGCACCTGAAAATGGGCAAACTGATAAAATGTTGCTGATAATATGATAAACATTTTGTCAGTTGAGCACTTTTTTCTATCTTTCACAGAAACTGAAATAATTGAGTTTGAAGTGGAACTTTTATGAAATTGGGATTATGATGGAGCGCACGGTGTTCAGTAGAGCGCACTTGCTCTAACTAAGTGCTTCTTGATTTCAAAGTAGTCGATAAACTTGAAAGTTTTCATTTTTATTACTGTAGCAGATTCTCTAGATCGTAAGTATACCACAATGGGTTCTTCTATGAAATTGGGGTTATGTGGAGCTACTTGCACTTTGAGCTCACATATCTCGGTTCCTGTAAAAGATGTCAAAAGGTGGTCTGATAACATGTTGCTGATATTATGGTAAACATTTCGGTAGTTGGTTATCTATTGATATCTCTTACAGAAACTGAGATAATTGACCACGAAGAAAAAAAGAAAGAAAACGAAATTTAAAAATTTATAATTCAAATTTTTGATCTGAACAAAATTGATTCTGACAAAAGTTGAAATCCAAATCTTGGAATTTTCGAGATTTTCAGCACAGAACGTTTGATTCCCCAGTCTTCCAGCTAAACCAGTTTCCGGTTCTCTGCGTCTCTTCCCCTCTCGCTAGACTATAAAAGTTCATCTATCCTCAAAGTACATGTCCCCCCTCTGTGATCAGCTGATTCTCATCCGCTAAGCTGCATAGATCCCTCTCCAGCTATACACACCCAAGAGAGAGGATCCCTTTTACTTAAAAAATAATTCTCTCTCTCTCTCTCTCTCTCT